ACAATATAGCGTAGAGTGGAGGAGATAGGCAACGACCTTCACAATCAACTACTTGACAATGCAGACAAATTTGTGGCATTTTCATTGGCTTTGGACGAGAGCACTGACATTGGTGACACAGCATAGCTCCTTATCTTCCTTCGTGGCGTCAGAGAAGACTTCAAGGTTATGGAAGAATTACTTGCACTCGTGAGCCTGAAGGACCGCACGAGAGGCTGTGACTTGTTTAACGCAGTTTGCGGTGCAATTGATGAAAACGGTCTGCAATGGTCATCTAGTTGGCGTTACAACTGACGGTGCACCATCCATGACAGGAGCAAACTGAGGTGTTGTTGCCCTCTTGAAAGGAAAGGTGAATGAAATGAGTGGATCTGAGATAATCCATTATCACTGTATTATCCACCAAGAAGCTCTTATAGCTCGTGTCCTCAAATTAGATAATGACATTGTGGCCAAATGTGTGAATTTCATTAAGTCCGATGAAATTAAGTCCAACCGTCGCCAGTTGAAGACCTTCCTTGAAGAATATGAAGCCGGACATGGTGATGTAGTTTTTTTGCGGCAGTTCGATGGCTTAGTAGAGGTGGAACCTTGAAACGCTTCTTTACTCTTCGCAAAGAAATCAAGGAATTCATGTCACTGAAAGGACGTTGACGCAACTAGCGGACATCAAATGGCTATGTGACTTAGCATTCTTAGTTGACATCATGGGTCATTTTAATGAATTGAATTTGAAGCTCCAGGGACAAGGGAAGTTCGTGTCAACACTGCTTGACGATGTGAAAGCCTTTGAAAGAAAACTCAAACTGCTTCAGAAACAATTGAGAGAGAGCTCTCTAAGGACGAGGGCCAGGACCAAGGCATCGTATTCAACTCACTGAGCTCCGAGAAATACTCTGGGAATATTCAAAGTTTTCTAGAAGAAATCAACAGGAGATTCATAGACTTCTGTTCTCATGAACAGGATCTGGCAATTTTTGCAGATCCCTTTTCATGCGACCCTGAAAATGGACCCACAAGCATGCAGTTGGAACTCATCGAATTGCAAGAGTGCACTGAGCTGAAGGCTTTCTATCTTGACCTTAACCTTGACCAATTCTACTCAGATCTTCCAGCCCAAACGTACCTAGCTCTGTGTAAGCACGACCATCGTATGGTATCTCTTTTTGGAAGTACATACATTTGCGAGAAGACTTTCTCAATCATGAACCTCAATAAATCAAAATGGCAGACAAGACTCACGGATGAACATCTTCACTCAGTCCTGCGAATCTCAACTACCAAAAACAAGCCAAGGTATCCTCGGATGATTGCTGGAAAATCCCAGCTACATACGTCCCACTGTAACAATTAGGTAAGGGATTATTATTATTATTGATATTCTTATATGTATCATGCAGAAAAGCAAGCTTTCGATTTTGCGGCCCGCGAGCCCGTACCCAACAGGCTATGCGTCCCTCTTGACCCAAAACTTTGGGCAACCCTGCCTTAAAGTGACTACTTGTCTGTAGTAATTATTGATTCACCTGGAAGGAGTTCCATCGCTTATTGCTGCTAGTGACGGACTTAATCACATTTCTCCTTTTTGTACCATTATGATGATGGTGTTTCCTCGATATGAATCATGCAGATTTGCTAGGAATTGCATGATATCTGCTATTATCTACATGTGCATTTTTAAGTATATACCAAATATAAGTTGTGGTGGACACTACTTTTTGGGTGACCCTCGTATGAGTATGATTGTATTCTAATTTTGGCATTTTCAGACCACAGGTTATACCATTCACATTTTAACGGCAATATTGCGGGGAACAGATAAAATAAAGACAAGAGACATGACTCATTGGTTTGCGAATGCTTAAACTTGAGCCTGAACCAGCAGGGTTTGGTTATTTGAGTTTGGCTGCAGTGTTGCAGGAGGGTATGCTTTCTAGAAGCTACCTCTGTGAGGAATTGGTATTTTACTCGTATGTTACATAGTAATGGTCGGGTGTAAAGAAAGATGAAGCGATCGGTTTTGAAGGGTAGGTGCAGAATGTAAACATCGAAAATCTATGGGTCAAAGAAGTTGCGAAACTACGGTCCGCAAGCGGGATACGGACCTCGATGCTATTAAATTAAGCTGGAAAGAACATTTGAAAAATATTGCACATGGATCTGGAATGTTCAAGTGGAGACCCACGGGTGGAATCTAGACCGCGAAACGATTCTACCCAGCGTGAAAATGCACATTTCCCAATTCCGAAAAGGCGAAAGAAAATGTTTGTGGACCAATAGTTTTGAGGAATGCCTGTTTGTGTTTTTCTTCAACACCCAGTCTCTGAGAGAATTACAGACTTTTAGCACATTTTGTGAAGTATGGCAAGATACGAAAATTCTTGAAAATGTTTGATGCAGATCATACCTCTCATTTTGTAGCTCTCGATCTGATCTCTTCTTTGGTATGAGTTCCGTTTTCCAACAAATTCCCTATATTTTACACTTAGCCAAAATCCATGGATTTTTGGGAAAAAGCAACCTACCGTAGTAGAATTCCTCACTCTCTTATATCACAACACCACGAGTCAACCCGGCGTACCAGATGCACTTGAATTGCTCTTTCATCGTATCCTTTTTTATGTTGCATGTGTGAACATGCTAATCCATGAATGACCATTTCAACACTTTCTACTCTAATGACAGATTTCTTACCTCCCCATTCTTCCATAACTTCGCTTATATTATTCGGGAACATATGGTTATTGCGGCATTTAAGGGGGGAAACAACAGGGACTTTTAATGAAATTTGTAACATTCAAATATCTCAAATTCCAGATACTCGTATTTGTTGGTGGGAACCATTTAGCTGACATACTGTCATTCTGTCCGAATCGGGGTGTTAAAGGTCAGGTTTCTTTATAATTGGTCAGTAAGACTGATACTTTTCGCAAATGTCACATGAGAACTACGCTTTCTGAGTCGCAATCAAACATTCGTTTTTTTTTAGACTTGCGCAAGGAGAGGTTGTTGGAGAAAATTATTGGACGATTGAATCGAAAAAATACAGTTTGGTCTGCAGCAGGAAGGACACGAGGGATTCCAACTCAAGTGATGAAATGGTGGTTGGGGCGTCCGACAGGGATCTTTACTTGAGAAAAGCCGTGCATGATTACCTCTCTGAGTTATGGAAAAAAAATGAAAAAAAGGTCAGTTCTCTATAAACAAATCCAGAGATATTCAACACAAAGTTAAGCTTCCCGGGGAAAGTGACCCCACAGGTCAAAGGGCTACCTTTGACCCTAATTGAGCTAATAAGGAGATTTTGCGTTGAAATGAAAGCTAAGACCCCGCATAGTACAGTGTAAAATCACAGGGAGATGGCAGTAGAATTCAATACCACTTTGATAAGTGTAGACCAACATCGTTTACCACTTTCACTAGTTCAATATTTTTACCTGAATCTGTATTACAACGGACAACTGGCTGTTGGCGTGTCTTTTCTTCGTAAGTGCAAATCTACATGCAAATTTACGAGGGTAAATGCTGAACCTCTAGAAATAATTTGACTTTCAGCTCCACGTAATATTAAAGTTACTCTGACACCATCAACCTTGCACCTCATCTGAAACGGTTAAAGAAGAAAGGAAAATGTCAACGATTGGTCTTAATTTCACATTTTAAGTTGCTGATACGCTAAATAGAGTGCAAAAAAAGAACTGAACCTGTTCGTGGTGTCCGTCGATATATACCCAGACCTGGTTGTGCTACCTGAATTCCCATTGTTGAGAATTTTGTTATATTATATCAAGAGAAAAATAGTGACTTCTAAACTTAAAAAAATCCTACAAACTTGACATTTCAAAGTAACAGCATATGTCACGCATCCACGTAAAGAACTTCGAAAGAGCTTCATTTGGCACGATTTCCCAAATTTATCTTGTTTTGGACAGGAAATATGAGCTATTGAAGTGGGTGAAAAATGAAAAAAAAAATGGATTCACAATTAATTTCCCAGCGTTTCGAACCAAGCAAGTAATTGAAATTAAGCTACTTCCATTGTATTTGACTAATGCAATGTACTAATAATCCGAAATGTAACTATTTGAGCTGGAATGTCTCACTCAGTAGTTGCATCGAGAATACCATACAATAGGGGGTGAGAGGAAATGAAGCTAGGGCGGGACCCTTTCTTATGAGCTTAGGTAAATGTTTTTCATTAGAGTGTTTAGGAGTATTTGATGTCAAGAAGCCTTTCTCAAGTGGATCTTCCAAATCTGGGAAATTCTGCAATGCAAAAGGGCTGCAATACTGTTTGGGAGGCGATATATAGGGCGATGATATCGAGAAATGCAAATGCCACTCCACGGCTAAGAAAACGACTACTATGGATTTCGTGTCCATGACGTGGAGAGAAAAATTGCCTGCTGATGGTGTCATGTTTTAGGATGTCTCATATATAAATTGGAAATACTAGATCGGTGACGCCCATTGAAATTAGTCAACAGTCCATGAACGTGGAAAAAGGAATTTCATGGGAATAAAGGATCTTTATTTTATATTTTAAATATTATTATGACAATTACCATCTTCAATGAACACTCGACTACGCAAAAAAAAATGAATGTTTTGACAACATAGGGGAAATGGCTGAAACATTTTTTTAGTCGCGCTGGAGATGCACTACATTAGCGGTTCACAAACTCGCGACCCCCTGGACGTATGATGGCAATGTGAGTGAAAGGAAATTGGAGAACCGATGCGTTGCATAGAAGCAGCGTCTGGCGACTCAAGTGACGCCGGTATCAGGCCGATAGAGATATGAAGCTTTATCTCCTTTTCAATGCACCCTCCATAGAGTTTCGCACCTGTTACGTGTCCGTCATTTTCGTAATGCACACGCGTGGTGAGGGTGTCGATCTTCGTATATTCGGCGTGCGTTTAATTCAATTCTGCAGTGACGAAGACGTAGGCATTAATGAACGTTAGTTCCTTGAGCTTGATGACACTCGAGTGGCGAACTTTTTAACTTCCCATGAGATTGTGATAAGGATGCCAAGAACTTCCTCTATCATTTCGAAATGAAGTTGGCATACATACTCTTGGGACGCCCAAAGGTTCCTTTGGAATATATTTATTCTCCTGAGCTCTTTGACATTGATGGAGTGAAGTCATCCCTCCCCTTCATACTGTAACTTTCGTTACAGTAGATCCGGTGATTACTCCTGGCCCCATTTCTACCCTGCTCCCTTCGGGATGAAAGGTAAGCGCTTCCATCAGCTCCTACAAATTCTTCAATTACAAGACCAAGACTGCAGATCCTTCAGGGATTATGGTGGCAAGCAAGGTTTGGAAAGGGACATCATGAGGCGATTACGTCCATAAGGATATCCCGCGTCAAGGTCGAGCGTTGCAGGTCCAGTAAGAAAAGATAGGACTACTCTTAAAGTTAAATATATTTGTTTTTTATGTTTCCCATTTAGCATTTCCTAGTCTCTTACTGTCAAGTCCTCCTAATGCCTAGTCCCTTAGCATTTACATTGCTTTCTTTCTGATGTTCATGAAGTCAACTAGCCTTCTCTTCAAGTCAGTCACGGAAGGGGGAGCCTCCAAGCCATTTCTTAGCGCAATCCATGCATTCAACACACAAGTAAAGAAATCTTGTCGCAACGTGAGCCGTGTCTGGGGTTTATGCAACTTACGTTAATTCCTTGTCGTTCTCGTACTGCCGTCAATCTGGAAGAACGTATCCTGCTCTACATTGTCGATTCCTTTAATAATCTTGAAAGTTTGGATGAGATCTCCTTTCATTAAGTTTCTCTCGAGCGAGTAAACCCCAATACTTTTAAATGGTTATCATGCGGGAAGTCTCCAAAGCTCCTTGATCATTCGCGTTGCCCTCCTTTGGACCGCCTCTAGCCATGCCGAATCGCCCCTATCCGTAGGCCTCCAAAACTAAATGCAATACTCCAATATGGATCTTACTAGTGCCGTAAACAACGGGAGAATAACGCTCGAACTCCTACTGCCTATGGAACAACGGATGAAGCTTCGAGTCCTATTGCATTTCGCAATCGTCGCCTGTGCGTGCGATGAGAACTTGAGTTCTTCAAGAGTAATCCTAAAGTCCCTCTCTCCGTTTGATTATTCCAGGTTATCTACAACGAAATCGTCCACAGACCTATTGCTATTATGACCTACGTGCAGAACCTTAAACTTTTTGATACTTTACTTAAACCTCATGAGTCATTTCTTTCTCCATTCTTCCAAGAGACTTAAATCTTGTTCAGTTCTCGACTATTCGCTTCCCCTGATAACAAAATCGACTATTCAAATTTGTTAAATCTTCGCCTCAAATTTTCCAAATTAGTTTGATCTACAAAACTCACGAAAATTCGTTCTTCTAAGGATATTACCACCCAGTCTTTTACAGTAAGAGCATATGGAGTGATTTTTCGCAAGATTACAAATTAGAGTTGTATTATTGCCAAAGTAATAATATCAATAATTATTTACATAATAGAAAAAACTCGGGTCATAAATAAAGTCATATGAAAACTAATTTCTCAGCTTTCTTGTACGCATGCTTCATACCCTTCTCTATTGGCACAATAACGTTGGATCAACTTCGTCACTGACTGAAGAACCAATAGTAATAGAATGAATATTATTTGCTTTTTGCCGAATTTTTAGCGTATGCCGACCACTCAAATGTTAGCAAAGTCGTTTTGTTGCTATTAAGTGCAACTAAATTTTTCATGATTGTTTTCACTATAGTTTCAATGTTATTGGAGCCTTGAAGCTATCCATATTGTCTCAAAAAGAAAATAGGCTTTATTCACTGACGCGAAATTCCACATAGACGCCGATTCTACAATTTACACCTTGAAACCTGTGGAATAAGTCTTTTGCATATTTCCTACTGCACTCGATCTTCTCCCGCGTAAAACTTAGTGGAGGGCTTTGGAATTCTTGTATAGACGTCTTTAACCCTTTCAGACCTGAATTAAGGCTACTATCGGAATAATATACTTTTTTGCACGTTTGGGCTCTTTTACTTTTGTTCCTTACATTTCTATGTCCTATATATCGTTTTTATATTTTATATAAATTTACCGTATCATACTATATGTTGTATAACATACATATAATTAAATAACTGAAGATGACTAAACTGTGGGTGAAAGAAGACCTCTGATTGAATTGAGCCATGCATAATTGCGCCCATTGTAGTGTAATATTGGGCGCAAAGTCACGAGAATCCCAAGAACTTTCCATAGACACAGTGAACATGCAATTTCCATTGGAATGGACGCCAGGTCTGAAAGGGTTAATGCTGTAACCCGACGGAACAACATTCCAGATATTTTGACCATAAGTTCAAGGATACAAGCCGAAACTTAAAACTTTATGGGCAGATGCTCTCGGCTCATCTGTACTCTAGTGACGAAAAAGCTATTATTTTGCATGCGAGAGTGTCTTCCTTTTCTTCCGTAGACATTAATTCGAGGTCAAAGGCAGGGAAAAATTGCTGGGCAGAACGAATTTTGCTATTTGATTTGTTATCTAAGAAAGTATCTAGTTAAAAAAAAGTCGCTTAACGTGGAAAAATGTTGAAACAACGTGACACTTATGCCCATTTTCAACCAGGCACTGTTTCATTTCAACCTTGTGGTGTCGTTGAATTAAATTTTTACAAAGCGCTAGGGCAGAATTCATTTGACTACTTCCTCGCTCAACATTGACATAATGTCGTTATTTCGAATGGGACATCCCAAGGTCTCTAGACCTATACAGGCATGTAGACATGCACCCCTTTTCAAAACCATAAATGTATCCCTTCTGGCATTATCTTGGTCATATTCATTGCATTTGAAACTTTGATTTGTTTCTAGTGAAGAAGTAAAGCTATTGTGGACTAAGAGCTACAGAATAAAAAAGAACCATGACCCGTTACAGGTACATTATGGCGAGAAGATATTACTGAAACCTCGAATGCCTCCCTCCTGAAGTGATGCCAATGGAGGCGGGTCTCACTGTGGATGGAAAAACTGTTGCCCGAATAATCGCGAAGAACTTGGAGAACTTGAAGTACATCGACCACGATGCAGTGATTGCATGTTTGTTGGAGAAGCAAGTGATCGATCATACTGACCATGTCGATATTAGCGAGAAATCTCAGAAGGAGAAAGTTCTATTCCTCCAGAAAATCCTCCCTTTGAAAGGAGACTCGGCATTCCAGAAATTCTTGGAGTGCCTCGAGGCAAGTGACCATAAGAAACTCGCAGAAACAATGCGACAAGGTGAGATCTTCTATTTAATAAAAAAAATAGCATTCATTCATTAATAGCTGTACCTCATGATATCGATATGTGCAAAGGCCATAGGATGATTATAGACAGACATCTTTGAATTTCATATTATGGCGCGAAGGGAGTAGTGGGGGGAGGCAAGGGGGAGACGATGACAGGCCTTCTATAGCCATTTATCATGCCTTGGAGACCGGTGTCGCCACCCTTTGTAGGTGTCCAAGGATCCGCTCGCAATCTAATGCCTAGATAACTAGTAAACTACAATAGATGCCTAGTAAACTACACTAGTGTAGCTCCGTACCGAAGCACAATACCTACGCACATGTCTGTACCATGGATAGGAGGGAGAGATAGTATAGTTCAGGTGTTGATCTTCCAAGTTTTGTACATTTCAGGAAAATTGAACCCCTTCATGTTCAATTAAGTATCAACAAAATAACTCATAATTTGCTCTTTCTACCTTCAGGATGAGGAAACGATGGATTGATTCCGCAGACGCTATCGACGTTCTTAATTTCCTTAACATTCAGGCCACATTTTCTTGGTAAAGGGTTCTTATAGGGAATATGAGCTTGTTTATGACCTGCCTAGGTAGTAGCACAACGCTGGCGGGCCGCGCGCTACATCTGGAAGATGTAGGCGATAGCCCGCCAGCTACGACACCGACACGAGAGGCATGGCACCCTTTATGACACAGTTGTAGCCAGGGTCCCGCTACTAGACGGCCCGCTAAAGGCCCTTCATGCGCTGGTCCCTGAGTAGCACATCGCTGCTGGGCTGCTCGCTACATTTCGGGAGGATAGTTGACGATCCATCGAAGACGAAACTGGCGGCATGACACGAATTATGTCACGCTTGCTGTCAGTGGCCCATTGAACAACAGGCCTATGATGGCCCTGTTCTGTGCCCCTTTCCATTTCTTCTTTATAATGTATTAATACTAATGTCATTAAAAAATTCCAGCACCTAATCTTCTGAAATTAAGTCCATAATAGTACTCCCAAAATCCAATATATGACTGAATTTCAAACCATTTCATGGAATAAACATCTTCATGAACATGGTTCCAATATCGAGTTCATCCACTTTGAAAAATGAGAATATATAATAATTGTGTATTAGTGTAAAAGAATATATATAATTTTTTCATTTCAAACTTTCCAAAAATGTTCTAGTTCACCACAAAATGTTAGATTCCTGGACGCCTAATCAGCTGCACTCTTCAACAGTAAAGAGCTCCTTTGGCACTGATTCTACTGTTTGTAGCAGTTCTCATCAACAAAGGCAAATACTTCACTCTGAGCCTGAGAACTCTACGTGACAAGTTACAATGGCACAAGCTTCAAGCTATGAGATACAGGGCTTTTTGGAATATCTCTACATTGAAGTGAAACACCTAAGCAAACAAAATTTGCAGCAGCACACATTCATAATGGGCCGGTCTAAAGCAAGTTAGGCCTAGGCCTATATTATCACTGCCTGCAGAGAAAACAGACACATTAATGCAAGGTTCAAGCTTAGGTCTATGAGTAGCCCTAACAACGGTTGGCTCCAATGGCCTCATTTAAAAAAAAAACTATTTTTATTTTTAGGCTAAAACCTGCTTCTTAAAGTCCCAGAAAATATTCAGTTTTATTTTTCCTGGCCTGCCAGGAGGAATAAAACTGACTTTTGGCAAGGACTTGTTTCAAGTCCTTTCATGAGCCCAAGATCTATGAATAAAAAGCAGGACTTAGCCAACAACTTAAATCGCAGAAAAAGCTGAGATCGGCACAACTTGAGGGAACGAACTACTCCATAATTGAAGCGAATCAATCGTTGAATCGTGTCAGTAGGGACACCTACTTTTATCATACCACATCGATACTGCGTAATTCAATCAACTGCCAACATATGACGGGTGCCCAACCTCTATGGGTCAGCTCCCCGCTGCCGGCTCACCTTTCTGCCCGACGAGACGTGGGTGAATGGTGTCTATGTCCGGCGGGCCTTCTATCATAGTAGCAAAGCCACTCTGCCACACCCGCCATGATCCCGCTAGTGCCGACAGAGGCCCACCGCTGGGCCGCAAGAAGTGCTACCTAGGTGGGCTTCATGAATGTTATGGGGATAACAAAAGATGAAATATCTGTGTTTATTGATTCTATAATGAGACTATTCGAATTATGACGAGGTACTAAACACTCTTGTGAGGGACGATTCCATCGAAAGTGGGTAGGGCACTACTGTGTACTGTGTGAAAAGAGGAACCCATACCTCCTGGAGGAGAACTTTCGACATCTCCCAAAAACTTTTGAGTGCAACTTAGGCACATTGGATCATCGTGTCAGTCCGATATTGGGGTCTATAATGGAATGGCAATATTGGGGAGTCAATGTTTAGTCGATATTGCCTATATTGGCCAAGGTGTGGCCAACCTGCTCAATGTTGGTCCAACATTGAGCCAATATACAGGGGATTACTCAAAAGTTCTGCCAGTAGCCCCAAAGAAATGAAAAATTTTAGTGTTCCATGATTAAATTCTGATCGTTATTGCCACAAGCAACTATTTCACACCTTTTCCACATACTCCCCACCGATTTCAATGCATTTTTTCATGCGATGGATCCAACGATCCACTGTTCAAAATCCTTCTCTTCAAACCTGTCAAGCTGTTCATTCACTGCCTCTTTGAGCTCTTCCCGAGTTTTGAAGACTTTTTCACGGAGTGGCTCTTTGATTTTTGGAAAGAGCCAAAAGTCATAGGGTGCCAAGTCAGGTGAGTATGGCGGTGGAGTCAGCAGGTCGATTCCAGAATCAGCGATGAAGTTGGCAGTTTTCTGTGCAGTGTGGGCAGGAGCGTTGTCATGATGCAAGAACCACCGAGGAAGTTCCTTCTTGGGGCGACCTCCCAGCAGCTTTTCGAAAACTTCAGGCAAGCACCTCTCTGTGTACCATGCAGATGTCACTGTAGACCGTTCTTCTAGGGGAATTGATGCCACGATGCCAGCAGACGAGAAGAAGATGGCAAACATGGTTCGACCAGTTGATCTGGCCCGACGAACTTTTGCTGGTGGAGGCGCCCCTTTAGCTGACCAAACCATGGATTGCAGCTTTCTTTGGCACCCATCTGGCAGACTTCTTCGTGTAGTTGAGTTTTTCAGTCAGGATTCGCCAAATTGACTTGGCATATATCCCAAGACTCAGTTCTAGCTTCTCCAGGGTAACTCGTCCATCTTCCTCCACTGCCGCCTTCACAGCCGCCACATTTTCATCGGTAGACGCCGGTTTTGGGCGTCCTTCACGGGGATCGTCACTAAGGCTGAATTCGCCACGCGAAAATCGCCGAAACCACCTGGCAATTGTTGAAAGATCAGGCGCTTGCCCATGAAGCACATTCTTTAATTTTTCGCAGCTTGCAGTTGCCGACAGACCACCCAGGAAGTCGTACAACATGAAGGCGCGCACGGTTTCCTAAGCAAAAACTGCTGGGGCGCGCGGAACTGGCTCAGAAATAACTCTTTCTCGTCTCCATCTCTGTTGGGAAGGGTGAAAAAACTTTTTCTTTAATAAAAAAAAATACGTTTCCCGAACTGGTCCAGCACTTTGCGGCCGCCTCCAATGACGACTTGTGGGCTACTGGTAGAACTTTTGAGAAATCTTTTGAGGATCGAATAGGCATGTACAAATGAAGCCTTCTAGCCCCTGAAAGTCATGCCGAACATCAACTTTTAATGATGGCCTTCAACGTTGACCCAAGTGGAGCCGCAGGAGTAGCCTATCCTAGTAGCGCCATACGAGTTAGAAGGCTAGAAGGCTTTTTCATTTGTACATGCCTATTCGATCCTCTTCCAGGAACCTTCCCACTGAGTCTCTGTAGGTTCAGATGTGAGTACTCCAACAATTACTACCTCCCTCGATTGTCCAATTGTCTCCATCTAAGGCAGGATTAAAACCCTATACTGACATAATCCTGCACTCATGTAGTTCTTTTTCTGCTCTGGAGGTGCTTCTCTGACGATTTACCTTGGCTGGTTCCTTCAACCAAACCCCAATTGACTAATATTGGGAGGCAGACCGAGCCATTGCAACTCAGGAGAGATATTCCAATCATCCTTACTCTTTCTCCTCACATCCGGTCAGGCCCATTGTTGAACCAGCTTCCTCCCAAAATCTCCAGGAGTCTCTCTGATCTATTTCATTTATAATTTAATAATAAATCATTTGACTAGTTCGAGTTTCTTCCCCTACTTAGCCTGTCGGAAACAAACAGGTACCAGATGCAAAGTACTGGTAACTTATAGCGAATCACTTTCTATTACCATTGGAATCGTGTTATTTTTGGCGCTATCTCGGGTCGCTAGGAGGAACCATTTTCCGCATATATTGTACCTGAGATAGATGGCTCGTCCACAGATAGAACAAATGTCGGCAGCCGCACTAACACTGATAGGGGCCTTCGTGGGCTGCCCACTGCGATATCCGTCCACACCCACGCCCTCCCTCCCTTCCTCCACTCGCAGCCAATGTGTGCCTATCAAGGTGCGCTCCCTCGGAGAGGACGGCATGAATCCGATTTCACTGAAAATATCTCATAATTCTTAATCCTTCCGATATGAAATGGAAGTCAAGACGCTATTAACTTCAAAGTATTTCGTTAGGTATTGAAACACGAAACACAGACTAAATGCATACACATATTTAGGGCCGATTGCATCGACGATGTTTTCCCGGTGTTTTGCAAAAGTAATCGGCTATCCGATGTCTACACTCTTAGAAAATTCCGAGCGTTTGAGGAGTAAAAAGTGAGCACGCCGTGAGCTTTTCGAATTTACTCTCTTATTACTCACAAAATGCTCCCTCACCGCTCGTATTGAAGTGAACACCTTGAAGTTCTTCGCCAGGCTACTAGATGAAGGCAAGGGTCTCGCTTTTCGCACAGTACACAAAAGTTCCCTTCACTCTTTCCCCGGAATAGTCCCTCGCATGATTGTTTAGTACCTTGCCGTATGTCTCGCCTAGTCTCATTATAGGAATCAATAAACACGGATACTTCATCATTTGTTATCCACATATTCAACACATATTCAGAGTCCAGGCCTTAACCTCATATTCCTATTGGGAACGCTTTTTGGGAGGCGTATGATTTTATCCGCATAGGAGACCTAGAATATGCAGAATGTACGTGAACGTAATTCAATCATACCTCAATTAGATGCGGTAATAAGGGACTGATATCCTGAACACTCACGGAACCAATAAGAGATGGTCCACCCTCTGACCTGTACTGTAATCAGTACAATCAGAGATAGATCAACGCCTGTACGAGAGCGAAAGCGACCCAAACAGTATTCATGGGAATTTTCATATTTGCATGACACCCTATAACTTTCTGATGGGAGCGTTCTTACTCACGGAGGAGGAGAGCAATTTTACTCCTCAGTGATGGAGTAAATTCGCTCCTTTCCCAGAGTGAAACTGGAGTTAGCTATTTTACTCTCTTTTTTGAGAAAAATCGCTCCCCTTTTTCTAAGAGTGTAAGGCCAAAAATGGATTGCTGTTACGCTATCTTCTTTAAACCATTGTCTAACCATCGGCTAGCAAAAGCTGAAAAGACGTTATTTCCAGACAAGGGATGGGGCATGTTTTGCCGATATTAATGGCAGCTCTCGAGTACTTTCTCGATCAGTATAATATTGCAGTGTATTGATGAAGCACAATGGATTATCCTTAAGGAGCGCTCGATATCAACGATGTGCTTTCGTCGTCGCATGGGACAAACAAACATCGGTTCTAGGGTTAATCCCTTTGAAGAATATGTCGATGAGAACCTTCGCGTGAGATACTAATTTGGAAAGGGATCAGTGAATGACGTCGACCTGCTTCGCACTGAACTCGAAAGGAACGAAACTAGCGGAAGGGAGCCCTTAATTTTACATCAACAGATAAGAACAATCACGGTTCGTGTGCGATGAATTGTGACTTATTCATGTACCCATCCCATGAATAATAAATTAGAATGACTCGAAAGTAAAGAAAGTGTCATGAAAGCCTTTCGATTTGTATGTGGCATTGATTCCTGGAAATGGAATGGCGCAGGCCATTGCTCAGATTCCCTGGAAGAAAAACGGAGTAGTTGTTCCAAGGAAATTGTTTGATATTCCCGGATTTCCAGGAATGATCGGTGCCATTGACGACTGTCGTATCCGAATAGAATTCCCATTCAACTGTTATCAATCACAAAGGCTATCATCTATGTCCAAGCAGTGCGCGAAGCGAAAGGGATTTTTACTGACGTTGTCATTACATAAGCAGGATCTCGGATATCCTCATTTTGCAATCAAACACAAAGTATACTATTTTTCACATTTCCGACTTTCTGTGCGCAAATTGAATCCTTGGCGTTACCCCTCATTTACTGACATACAAAGTAGGGTCAGTAGAGAACTTACTAATTTCCAGGCAAGAATATTCATGCGTAAGGAGAGTGAATTATGTCTCTCTATCGTGAGATTCTAATTTACAAACTCTGCGAGATGTACTTCATCGTCAGAGGAAAGTTTATTCTTTTCCACTCGATTCGTCCCTTTTTTGCGGAGTTCGAAGTGTATTACGCGACAGCCAGTCAGAACGTGCTATATACACGTACCATGAGGGGCGCTTAGCCATCGTCTAACCATTGGCTATGAAAACAGTTTGGGGGTCGTTCACACAATCGAAAGTAGACGACGGTTAACCGATATTTGCGTAGACAATGTTTAAAATAAACATCGTTCATGCAATCGGCCCTTAGTGTTCTCTTTGAAAATGCAACTGAGTTACATCAAATACAGCAAGATCAGCAAAATCCCTGCCTCAGCAGCAAGAGAAGTATTTGCGCTTCGATGACTTTGTTATCGTAGGAGCACATGGTGTATATGTAAAGAAATATGCAGGATTTACGATCGGAAATATTCTTCAGTGAATCCTCAATGCGAGGATAATTGTTCGTACCCAGGACATTGCGACCACCGCGCATACACCAAAGCTGCAGTTGCGCGAACAGGTTCCTTATTTGCTTAACAATACACGCTTTAATGAATATTCTCACAGAATGCACGAGTTTATCGCATAGCAGTGGTGGGGTCCCACTGCGTCATGCCTTCTCAACCTCAACGCTTTCCAGTTCTACAATAGAGAGCCATGTAAGGTGAGTCTTTCTAACATTTCAGTTAGAAAATTTCGACAAAGTGAAGCGCAAGTCACTTCGCAAACACATGGGAATAAGTCAAATAATGCCTAAAGATACCTGTAGATGAATGGTGTACGAATGTATTCTAGGGGGTATCTTTGGTGCAGCCCTTCAAAAAGCGGCAGAAAGTTTGGGTAATGGTAATTTTCAACAAGCACACTCCGATCAAAACTCTACTGAATTGCGATTGTTCGAGGAAATAATATTACTTGACATTTAAATTTTAAAATAAAAGAAATCATATTTGCTGATGTAAACGCTGATATCGAATAAAAATATGGAATTTTCCTGATCTCGTTGTACTTTCCACCAATATGGAAGCTAACGCAGCACTAACACTCATCTTCCCAATAATAATTGAAAAAATAACCATAACTAGCAAGTTTGCTTACCCAGAGGCAAATAAACTCCCTGTGGTCGTGGCTTTGGCGCTCCAATATCAAAGATTTTAAATAAATCTAACTTATTTTCGAAGTGGCAAAACTTATCGAGATTTTTTTAATTATCGAAGTTATTACTACGATGATTTCTTGTGCGCCTAACGCCAAATATAACCTCCATCCAAATATAATCTCCATCCATGATGATGATGATGATCCGCCCTGATGGGACATATTCCAAAAGTAGGAATTTTCATTTAATCAGCTATCCATGAGGTACTTCTGCAAACATGTTGACATTTTCTTGACAATGGCTTGCGTAAAAATGATATAAAATGGACAAAAAGTTTACATTCATTTTACGTAAAATTAACCTAAACATGCTGTTTGGGATGGATTGGCGAAGGATATTTATGTGATACCTCGTACGGAAGAAACATTTAGTGTTGTGAACTTGAATGGAATCACATTTCTAGACTTCTATCAGTTTCTCAGTTGCTCGTTAGATGATCTGGTTAGTTCCCTCAGTTCCTATATGGGCTTGACGATTTTAAAGGAATCCTTCCCTCTCACAACTCAGGAACAAATGGCATTGCTTCAGGGGAAGGAGTATTCCCCGATGAGTGCATCACAGACATGAAAGTCTTGTCCGAGACAGGACTACCTCCCAGAGAATCCGTTATTTTCTCGCCAACGGGGGAGACCATTTCCGAGACACAATATCAGCAGGCAATTCTTGTATTAAATACTTTCTCTTGCAAAACCATTAGAGATTGCGCTCATTTGTATATTTCGCGTCGATACGATCCTTTTCGCGACCATCTCTGAGCGATTTCGTCAACAAACGATGCTGGACCTCGGTCTCGAAGCATGCATGTTCGTATCACTACCCTCTTTGAGCATGGCAGCAGCGCTAAAGACCACTCGTATCAAGTTAGATCTCGTCACCGGAATAGATAAACACCTATGGTGGGAAGCTGGGATTCGCGGTTGTATGTGTCTCCCTCCGGAAAAGTTCAGCAAAGCAAATAATGAATACATCGGGGCCGCAGACGATAAGACTAAAGAGAGCTCCTTTATTTTAGATTTTGATTGCAACAGTCTGTATGCATTTGTCATGTGGAACTTTAAACTTCCGTGTGGAGGTTTCCGCTTTCTGAACGAGCAAAAAATGTCAGAGGTGAGGATCCATGAATTGAACTCCGAGAATGAAACAGGTTACATTCTAGACGTTGATCTGGACTTCCCAAAGGAGGTACATGATCGCCTGCAATTGTTACCTCCCGCTCCTGAAGCCATGAAAATCTAAAGAGAAAAGCTAAGCGCGTATAATAGGAAGCATCTGCGTGGTGCAAATAACCCTTTTGGCACCATACATCACTCTTATCAAAATCAAAAACAGGTGGCGCACCTCGGTCCACATAATCATTACGTTGTCCAAAGCCTCACACTTCAATTTTATCTCGAAATGGGGGTTCGGATAACGAAAATACCTTAATTCTCGTGTTTCAGCAAAAGGCCGGGTTGAGGGACTACGTCGAGTGCAACTTACCCAAGAAGCACACTCACATTGAATCAACGTTGATTCAACGTCATTTCGTCAACGCAGCTAACGTTGAAACCACGTTGTCTGTCAACATTGATTCTACAGTAGATTGAAAGTTTATTTTTATCAACAATTGATTTAACGTTGACATTAACGGTGTATCGACATTTATTCAATGTTCAAAAGCAACTTTGCAACGTTGATTCAACATTTGTGTATTGTTGGAGTGGTCTTTGGTCCCTGAGAGCGGGGCAACACTGTCGGGAGTGCCGGCATGGCCGGAAAGGAGGAAAGGGACAGGGGAAGGCATGCTGCGTGGGCATGGCGGAGGGTGGGTTGGCTCGGCGAGGGTCGTGGTGCATCCAGTGCATCCAAATGCGGGACCGCATTTGGAACCCCGTTATTCCGCTTTCGCCTCACTGGATCAGGCTGGAGCCCCTTCCGACGCGTCTCACTGACTGGACTGTGATGGGACTGTGATTGAACTTGGATTGTTTCTCCCCACCTGCACGCTGCTGCCTGGCCGCTTCTTCATCTGTATTTTATTTCATCTTATATTTTATATTCTATTGGCCTTGAGTGTATTGTCTTGTTTTCTGTGGGATTGTGTTGTTCCCCCCCTTGAGTGGCCCCTTTTACTATTTATATTTCATTGGCCTAAGCTTTTTTGTCTTTTATAAAAGCTCCTTTGAAAGTTTTAAATAGATATTATCAGGCTTAGAGAGGGACTGACCTTTTATTGAACCACGCTCTCTGTGCAAGGGAGACCAGACACCCTCATCTCTCCTGTTTTTCCCCCTCTCACTCCCTCTCTTTCTTCGCGCGTGTGCGCATGCAAATAATGGAGAGCAAGCAGTGGCCATGTGCTGAGTGCGGACGGCGATTTAGCAAGAAAGGAGATCGAGACCGTCATCGACGCACACACCTCAACCAGGTACGGCATAGTATGACATCTTTACACATGTAATAATTCTTCTTGTATATGATTACGATAATGATCATGAAGAGGATGATGGTTTCGTAGGAAGAGCGTCCTGTCTATCCATGTCCACATTGTGGAAATGCTTCTCTCGAAAATACAACCAACAAAATCACTCTCGTCTATGCTTGCTTCGCGCACCAGCACCAATTAGATGTGACGCCGCACAATCAAAGATTTTCTCTCGAGATTGCCTAATGCAATGCCCGTCACACTGGGATTCCGACAGATCATCCAGATGATTCACTCGAAAATAGACAATGCGAGAACGCCCAGGTACGAGATGCTGCTGCTACCGCATTTGTTTCGTTTGCATTGTCGGTGAAAAGACAACCATTCCCTACGGTTGTTGTAGATATCGACGGTGACAGATACGTCAACAAGTCATGTCGGGAGTCGTGAATGCCATAGACAAAATAAGGGAGAGCAGAACAAAGATGAATCGCCACCTGCCAAAAGACGACTCGCCTCTCCTAAACCATCCACGAGTTTTGCCGAACAAATCAACGACAAAATGTTCGCCTATGACGAAATTCCTCTTGATGAAACAGTAAGATGCCTTATCTCTGTTACGCATTAAAGAGAAAGAGCGGAAACATTTTATTCCTATCTTTTCCTGATATTTCAGAACCGAGCGGAATATTGTCCTCAGTGCAACCGTGGACCATTTCGTCATCATTTCAACCTCAATCAACACATCCGTGATGTTCACCTTCCAAGACTGCACCCGGTAAACCAGGTTGGCGGAGGTTCAGATGTTGAACAACGCATCGGACGTTTCACCCTTGAGGAAACAGCGGCGAATCGTGGTGCAGAAAATTACGCTTTAGATGTTCAGGCGGATATTGAGGATGCTGATCCCGATAAATTTATTCTCGACTCGAACGATCTTCTTCTCGACTTTCTTTCAAAATACTTTCAGCAGTGGGATAAACAAGCCATCAAAATGCAATTAGTATTGTCCATACGTTGTCACCGCCTGACGTTAGAAGGTCGGCAAACGATGACGATGAACATCCGTACCGACCCGATCGGAATTACGGGCGTGCATGACAATCTAGAGAGAGTGAATGAGATCGCTCAGGATCTCACACGAAGGTTAGATGAGGCGGAGAATCGCGGGAGCGGTTGGATCTATGATAGCGTCGAAAAATTCCTCGTAGAAGTGACACGTTTCGATCCGATCCGAGGCAGCAAATTCGTACAACTTCCTGATGCGCTCAAGTCCATGCAATCCCTCATCAATCCACATAACGATGATGGTCAGTGCTTTCTTTATTGCATTGCAATGTTTCATCATCCTCCCAAAGACGGAACTTTTGGAAACGTTATGGTTTTCAAGAAGTATTTTGCCGAAGACGATGTCCAGGGACTCACTTTTCCCGTTTCACCAGCGCAAGTGCCTCACTTTGAGAAACGAAACGGGCGTGCCATCACGATCCTAGGTAATGAATGGGCGAAAGAGGAACAAGATAGGGTGTACTTCATATATGCCTCAACCATGCATGAGAGCATCCCGCGGATGTTTTTATTGCTGCTTGAAGAAGGTGTTCTGATCAAGAACTTGAGAGGATTCATGAATCACTTTCGGAAGAAANTAAACAGACGATCTCCAACGAGTTCCTTCAAATCGGGTAAGTTCGTGTCTCTCATTTTTCATCAGGTAACGAATGAACTCTTTATTGATTCATTTCCTCGCCTACAGACGCTTCTTCTGCGCTGATCATTGACGAAGGCGAGGATTCCCACCATTCCTCAGGAGCAGTCGAGCAAGGAGGGGAGAAAAAAACCAGTGTCGTCGATCGCCCTCCACTGCTACAAACATACACCATCTCGGACCGATTTTTATGTTTATCTGTATATGCGACACACTTTGTTTCATGCTTACTCTTGTAAATAAAGCACATCTCTTGAAAGTCCCTTTCCTTTCACTGAAACGGGAAAGGAAGGAAATGAATCGCCGAAAGGCTGGTTATCGTGCTGACATCCATAACCCACGTGTATACATCGTCCTGCTGACCTCTGCAAACATCCTACACACTTTATGTTGTTTTCGCCCTTGCAGGAAGCTTCAGTCCCGTCGAAACATCGAAAACACCTCTTTCACTGATCGCAGAATCTTATCGCAAAATAAACTATCCCGAGGTTCCTGAAACCAATAGACATTTTACGCACAAAGTATCTTGTTCGAAGTCCTGCAAAGTGGTGGAAAGCGTGATTGACGACGTGGTTTTAGTAGTGTATTTGGGAAAGATCATTAGAAAGTAGTTGAAGGAAAAACGTTTTTCAGGGAAGACATGATCTTTTTAATTACTGTGTAGATGAGCAGCACGGAGTCGTGGCGTAGAGCAAGCAAACAAGCGCTAGCAGAGAGCATTCCCGTGAAAGAAGTAATTTAACACGTGTGTGCGTGAGGGAGGAAAGTCAGTAAGAGCGTGACATGAGAGAATAGAAGGGAGACCAGACACCCTCATCTCTCCTGTTTTTCCCCCTTCTCACTCCCTCTCTTCCGTTCGCGCGACTGTGCATGCAAATAATGGATCGCAAGCAATGGCCATGTGCTGAGTGTGGGCGGCGATTTAGCAAGAAAGGAGATCGAGACCGTCATCGACGCACACACCTCAACCAGGTACGACATAGGTTGACATCTTATTCTATGTAATTATTCATCTTGGATATGATTACGACAGTGATCATGATGAGGATGATGGTATTGTAGGAAGAGCGTCCTGTCTATCCATGTCCACATTGTGGACATGGACAAAACGCTTCTCTCGAAAATACAACCAACAAAATCACTCCAGTTTATGTCTACTTCGTGCACCCGCACCGTTAGATGTGACGCTGCACAATCAATGAGTTCCTCTCGAGGTTGCCGTGCATGGTATCCACCACACAGGGACTCTGACAGCTCATGCTGATGATTCATTGGAAGATAGACGATGCGAGAACGTCCAGGTACGCGATGCCGTATTTGTTTATTTTTGCCTTGTCTGTGAAAATACAACCAGTCTCTACATATGTTTCAGCTATCGACGGTGACAAATACGTCAACGAGTCCTGTCGGATGTCGGGATTGCCATAGACAAAATAAAGAAGAGCAGAACAGCGACGATTCGCCACCTGCCAATAGACGACTCACCTCTCCTGAACCATCCACGAGTTTTGCAGAGCAAATCAACGACAAAAAGTTCGTCTATCTTGACGAAATTCCTCCTGATGAAACGGTAAGACGCTCTATCTCTGTTTCGCATTAAAGAGAAAGAAGGAAAAAAAGTATTCCTATATTTTCCTGATATTTCAGAACCGAGCGGAATATTGTCTTCCTTGCAACCGTGGACCATTCCGTCATCACTTCAACCTGAATCAACACATCCGTGATGTTCACCTTCCACGACTGCACCCAGCAAACCAGGTTGGCGGAGGTTCAGATGTTGAACAACGCATCGGACGTTTCACCCTTGAGGAAACAGCGGCGAATCGTGGCGCTGAAAATTACGCTTCAGATGTTCAGGCGGATATTGAGGATGCCGATCCCGATAAATTTATTCTCGACTCGAACGATCTTCTTCTCGACTTTCTTTCAAAATACTTTCAGCAGTGGGATGAACAAGCCATCAAACTGCAATTAGTATCGTCCATACGTTGTCACCGCCTGACGTTAGAAGGTCGGCAAACGATGACGATGCACATCCGTACCGACCCGATCGGAATTATGTGCGTGCATGACGATCTCGAGGAGAGAGTGAATGAGATCGCTCAGGATCTCACACGAAGGTTAGATGAGGCGGAGAATCGCGGGAGCGGTTGGATCTACGATAGCGTCGAAAAATTCCTCGTAGAAGTGACACGTTTCGATCCGATCCGAGGCAGCAAATTCGTACAACTTCCTGATAACTTCCTGTCCATGCAATCCCTCATCAATCCGCATAACGATGATGATCAGTGCTTTCTTTATTGCATTGCAATGTTTGATCATCCTCCCAAAGACGGAACTTTTGGAAACGTTGAAGTTTTCAAGAAGTATTTTGCCGAATACGATGTCCAGGGACTCACTTTTCCCATTTCACCAGCGCAAGTACCTCACCTTGAGAAACGAAACGGGCTTGCCATCACGATCCTAGGTTATGAATTGGCGAAAGAGGAACAGGATAGGGTGTACATCATATATGCCTCAACCATGCCTGAGAGCATGCCGCGGATGTTTTCATTGCTGCTCGAAGAAGGTCACCATGTTCTAAACAAGAACTTGAGAGGATTCATGAATCACATTCGGAAGAAATGGTGTGAGCCCTACTGCGATCGATGCCTAGCAGGACTTTCTTCTAAGAACTCATACGACAAGCATAGGCGCCTGTGTTTGACGCACGCAGCTGCGGCAATTCACATGCCGAAACCAGACAAGTCCACATTGGAGTTTAATACCTTTAAAAAATGCCTCCGGTTGCCCATGGTTACTTATGCCGATTTCGAGTGCATTCTCTCGAGATGCGATGAGGTGGGAAGTTCAGGTCGAGTGCTAAAACATCTACCCTTTTGCTATCATTTGGTAGCGATAGATTTTTTTGGACATGTTTGGAACGAGGTGTTCCATATTGGTGAGGATTGTGTCTCGCACTTTCTCGCTACAATTTTTGAAATGAGGGATGCAGCGAGAGAGTACGTTATGGAACACGAGAAACCTCTTGTCGTTACGGAGCAGGAAAGAGAAGCAATTCTTTTACAATCAGATTGTGCAATTTGCGGTAATCCTTTTGTGACCAGAGAGGAAAAGCACATCGATCACTGTCATGCGACGGGTGAAATCAGAGGAGCCACGCATCCCACCTGCAATCTAGGATTCACAAATGCCAAAGAAACTTTCCGTGTCATTATCCACAACGGTGGAAAGTACGATCTGAAGCTCATATTGAAGGGAATTGCAGATGGGAAGCATGGATTAGCGAAGGATATTCAGGTGATACCTCGTACGGAAAAAACATTTCTAGTAGTGAAATTGAATGGAGTCACGTTTCTCGACTCGTATCAATTTCTCAGCTGCTCGTTAGACGGTCTGGTTAGTTCCCTCGGTTCCGATATGGACCTGTCGATTTTAAAGGAATCCTTCCCTCTCACAACTCAGGAGCAAATGACATTGCTCCTGAGGAAGGGGTATTTCCCCTATGAGTACATCACAGACATGAAAGTCTTGTCTGAGACAGGACTACCTCCCAGAGAATCCTTTTTTTCCTCGCTGACAGGGGAGACCATTTCGGAGACACAATATCAGCATGCAATACGCGTATGGATAAAAGAATCCTTCCCTCTCACAACTCAGGAACAAATGACATTACTCCAGAGGAAGGGGTATTTCCCCTATGAGTACATCACAGACTTTAAAGTCTTGTCTGAGACAGGACTACCTCCTAGAGAATCCTTTTTTTCCTCGCTGACAGGGGAGACCATTACCGAGACACAATATCAGCAGGCAATGCTTGTATGGAAGACTTTCTCTTGTAAAACCATTGGAGATTACGCTCAGTTGTATTGTCGCGTCGACACGATTCTTCTCGCGACAGTCTTTGAGCGATTTCGTCAACAAACGATGCAGGACTTTGGTCTCGAAGCATGCATGTTCGTATCACTACCCTCGTTGAGCATGGCAGCAGCACTAAAGACCAGTCGTGTCAAGTTAGATCTCGTTACCGAAATAGATCAACACCTAATGTGGGAAGCTGGGATTCGTGGTGGTATGTGNAAAAGACCAGTCTTGTCAGGTTAGATCTCGTTACCGAAACAGATCAACACCTAATGTGGGAAGCTGAGATTCGTGGTGGTATGGGCATCGCTCCGGAAAAGTTCAGCAAAGCAAACAATATATACATGTGGGCAGCATGTGATGAGACTAGACAGAGCTCTTTTATTTTAGATTTTGATTGCAACAGTCTCTATGCATTTGTCATGTGGAACTTTTAACTTCCGTGTGGAGGTTTTCGCTTTCTGAACGAGCATGAAAATTTCAGAGGTGAGGATCCATGAATTGAACTCCGAGGATGAAACGGGTTACATTCTAGACGTTGATCTCGACTTTCCCGAGGAAGTACACGATCGCTTGCAATTGTTACCTCCCGCTCCTGAATGAGCAGAGCCTCGCTGGCCTTCCGTACGAGAGCCCCTGGTTAAGGGAGCTGCCCTGTTGCTATCTCAAACCGATGTTGTCATTCATCATGAACGACATCGCAGATGGCGTATTTACTTGGGGAAACGAGGATGCTGTTCTCCTTCGACATTTGATAGGACGTGAAGCTTGCGACATTCGCTCGTTCCTGTCACCAGAGCAATTAGTATTGTCCATACGTTGTCACCGCCTGACGTTAGAAGGTCGGCAAATGATGACGATGCACATCCGTACCGACCCGATCGGAATTATGGGCGTGCATGACAATCTAGAGGAGAGAGTGAATCAGATTGCTCAGGACCTCACACGAAGGTTAGATGAGGCTGAGAATCGCGGTAGTGGTTGGATTTACGATAGCGTTGCAAAATTCCTTGTAGAAGTGACGCGTTTGATCCTATACGAGGCAGCAAATTCGTGCAACTTCCTGATACGCTCAAGTCCATGCATTCCCTCATCAATCCACATAACTATAACGATCAGTGCTTTCTTTACTGCATTGCGATGTTTGATTATCCTCCCAATGATGGGCATTATGAAAGTGTTGGGAGTTTCAGGAAGTATTAATATTTTGTAGAATACGATGTCCCGGGTCTCACTTTTCCCGTTTCACCTGCGCAAGTGCCTCACTTTGAGGAACGAAACGGACGTGTCATCACGATCCTAGGTTATGAATGGGCGAAAGAGGAATAAGATAGGGTGTACATCATATATGCCTCAACCATGCCTGAGAGCATGCCGCGGATGTTTTTATTGCTGCTTGAAGAAGGACACTATGTTCTGATCAAGAACATGAGAGGATTTATGAATCACTTTCGGAAGAAATGGTGTGAGCACTACACTCTTAGAAAAGAGTGAGCAATTTCCGAGAAAGGGAGCGAAACTGGAGTTGGCGAATTTACTCCCTAAAAACAAGGAAGTGCAGCCGTTTACCACTCTCTTTCCTGAGAACAGCCACTAACTTTTTATATTAATTTTAAAAGTACTCCCTTTCTCTCGTTTTTCGCTCGTGAAAAATGTATGGATTCTGCTCCTATAAAGGAGTACTCATAGATTGTACTTCCTCGTTTTTAGAGAGTAAAATCGCTAACTCCAGTTTCGCTCCCTTTCTCGGAAATCGCTCACTCTTTTCTAAGAGTGTACTGCGATCGATGCCTAGCAGGACTTTCCTCGAAGAACTCAAACGACAGGCATAGGCGCCTGTGTTTGACGCACGCAGCTGCGGCAATTCAAATGCCGAAACCAGACAAGTCCACATTGGAAATTAATACCTTTAAAAAATGCCTCCGGTTGCCCATGGTCGCGTATGCCGATTTCGAGTGCATTCTCTCGAGATGCGATGAGGTGGGAAGTTCAGGTCGAGTGCAAAAACATCTACCTTTTGCTATCATTTGGTAGCGATAGATTTTTTTGGACATGTTTGGAACGAGGTGTTCCATATTGGTGAGGATTGTCTCTCACATTCTCACAACAATTTTGGAAATGAGGGATGCAGCGAGAGAATGCGTTATGCAACACGAGAAACCTCTTGTAGTTACGGAGCAGGAAAGAGAAGCAATTCTTTTACAATCAGATTGTGCAATTTGCGGTAATCCTTTTGTGACCGGAGAGGAAAAGCACATCGATCACTGTCATGTGACGGGTGAAATCAGAGGAGCCACGCATCCCACCGCAATCTAGGATTCACAAATGCCAAAGAATCTTTCCGAGTCATAATCCACAACGGTGGAAAGTACGATCTGAAGCTCATATTGAAGGGGATTGCAGATGGGAAGCATGGATTAGCGAAGGATATTCAGGTGATACCTCGTACGGAAGAAACATTTCTAGTAGTGGAATTGAATGGAGTTACGTTTCTCGACTCGTATCAATTTCTCAGCTGCTCGTTAGACGGTCTGGTTAGTTCCCTCGGTTCCAATATGGACCTGACGATTTTAAAGGAATCCTTCCCACTCACAACTCAGGAGCAAATGACATTGCTCCAGAGGAAGGGGTATTTCCCCTATGAGTACATCACAGACATGAAAGTCTTGTCTGAGACAGGACTACCTCCCAGAGAATCCTTTCTTTCCTCGCAGACAGGGGAGACCATTTCGGAATCACAATATCAGCATGCAATACGCGTATGGGATACCTTCTCTTGCAAAACCATGGAGATTACGCTCAGTGGTATTGTCGGGTCGTCACGATCCTACTCGCGACCGTCTTTGAGCGATTTCGTCAACAAACGATGCAGGACTTTGGTCTCGAAGCATGCATGTTCGTATCACTACCCTCGTTGAGCATGGCAGCAGCACTAAAGACCAGTCGTGTCAAGTTAGATCTCGTTAGCGAAATAGATCAACACCTAATGTGGGACGCTGGGATTCGTGGTGGTATGTGCATCGCTCCGGAAAAGTTCAGCAAAGCAAACAATAAATACATGGGGGCAGCATACGATGAGACTAGAGAGAGCTCTTTTATTTTAGATTTTGATTGCAACAGTCTGTATGCATTTGTCAACACCTAATGTGGGAAGCTGGGATTCGTGGTGGTATGTGCATCGCTCCGGAAAGGTTCAGCAAAGCAAACAATAAATACATGGGGGCAGCATATTATGAGACTAGAGAGAGCTCTTTTATTTTAGATTTTGATTGCAACAGTCTGTATGCATTTGTCATGTGGAACTTTAAGCTTCCGTGTGGAGGTTTCTGCTTTCTGAACGAGCAAGAAATTTCAGAGGTGAGGATCTATGAATCTCCGAGGATGAAACGGGTTACATTCTAGACGTTGATCTGGACTTCCCCGAGGAAGTACACGATCGCTTGCAATTGTTACCTCCCGCTCCTGAAGTCATGATAATCTAGAAGAAAATGCTAAGCGCGTATAATCGTAAGCAGGTGCGTGGTGTAGTTGTCTCGGCACCATACATCTCTTGGGTCAAAATCAAAAACTGGTGGCGCACCTCGGTCCGCACTATCATTACGTTGTCCATGGTCTCACACTTAAAATTGTATCTCGAATTGGGGGTTCGGATAACGAAAATACACCAGATTCTCGCGT